AAAAAACCCTCCGGCTGTCCATTAACACAAACAGAATAAGAGGGTGAAGTGATCAGGGTCTTTATCCAGTTAATCATGACTGGATGAAAACCCATTCCCTTCAGCATCTCTAAAAGAAATTGCCAATCAACTGTGTCATAAGCCTTACAAATATCAATCTTAAAAGCACATTTTGGTTCCCCTTCAGAACGCTTATATCCAGTGACCAGTTCATGCGCCATTAAGATATTATCAGTGATTTGTCGCCCAGGAATGAACGCAGATTGAGCCTTGCTAACAAGAACATCCAGCGATCCTTTCATCCGTTCARCAATAACTTTACTAATACACTTCAACAACACATTACAACATGCAATTGGCCGATAATCAGTAACACAAGAAGCATTAGGGACCTTTGGCACAAGACAAAGAAGAGTATGGTTCAGCTGATACTCCAAAGTTCCAGAATAGAAGAAATTATGTATTCCAATGAGAACATCCCGACCGACCACATTCCAAGTTGCTTTAAAGAATTTAGAAGAGTACCCATCAGGGCCTGGAGCTTTTTCATTCCCAATGGCAAACAAAGCATCCTTTATTTCCATATCCGAGATTGGACGGATTAAGTGTAGAGAATCCGATAACGATAAAGAATGACCAAACACACAATCCCCCATAGAGGGATGAACCAAAACATTGGAAGTACCTAGAATACTTTGAAAATGGGAGAGGAAAGCAGTAGATACCTCCTGATGATCATAAATAGTACCAAAAGAATCCCTGATAGTAGCAATATGGCTCCGATTGCGCTTTTCTTTCATAGCATGAAAGAAAAATTTAGAGTTACCATCCCCTTCATTGASMCAWGATATCTTCGCTTTTTGACGAGCCATTTCCACTTGATCATTTCTAGCTTTTTGATATGCTAGCAAGAGGTGAGCAATGTCCTCCTTCAGCAAGTCATTAAACGGGTCTAGATCACAAGCCAATTGAGCAACATCAAGTTCCGTCTTTAACTGAACTACCCTTTTATCCAAACAACCATACGAATTTCTGAGACGCCGACAAACCACCTTCAGATTTTGCAATTTCCGAAGCACCCTCTTCATATAAGATCCGCTCTGAGGTTTCGTCCATACCTCCTCCACATAAGCAAGGAAATCCTTATGAGAAGTCACAAAATTGTCAAACTTAAAGCCACGCTGTCGAAGACGTCTACCAACTTTAAAAGAAAGAATACCCGGAGAGTGATCATATATCCCCCTCGGTTCAAAGAAGACCGAAGCATCCCCAAATCTAGAGATAAAAGCTGAATTTCCCAGAATATGATCCAGTTTGCGCATAACACCATCTCCCCCCGAAGGTTTCTGTATCCAAGTAAACTGGCATCCTTGGTACAAAATGTCAAACAATTCAGCCTCTTCCAAGCAGAGATGAAACTCCTCCATGTCAGAATTTCTCCTAGAGGATCCTCCCAACCCATCATGAGGGAAAAGCATTGAATTAAAGTCACCCATCGCAACCCATGCTTTCCTTTGATTAAACACATGAAATTCACCAAACGCCCGCCAAATCTCACGCCTTTCCRTACCCGTATTACACCCATAAACAAAAGTAATAAAAATAGGATCCAGTTGGCCAAAAATCCGAATTTCACAGTGGATATATTGTTGGTGCTGCTCAATGAGAAGAACAGAAAGCACTGACGGGTCCCATGCAATAATTAGGCGAGTGCCTTGATCACAAATAGATCCATTTTGTAATCCAACTCCAATTACCAAATACACTACTACACACACACCCCAAGTGATTATAAGCAACTTTTGATTCAATAATGCAACATAGAGAAAGATGCTTGAGATTAATTAAATCACGTACCTCCTTCCGTTTGATAGGGGCATTTAAACCCCTAATATTCCAAGCGGCGAACTTTATCATTGAGACGAAGAAATTGTAACATCCTCTCCTCGTTTTTCCATACTGTGCCCCTCTGTATCAATGATCTCCATATCGTCATCATCATCACTAGAATCGTCAGAAGATAAAGAAGAAAACCGATTACTAGCTTGCAAATCATGAAATTCGCCTCTCCTTGGTTTAAATGCTTGCACCACCTTTTGTATTTACTTCGGATCCCCTTTTGATAAAATTTTGACGTTGGAAATATCTTCTCTACCCCTTGGTGTGCGCCCCGCATCCACCGTACAGAACTGACCGTCCACCTTCCCAACATCCTTTTCTTCCAACTTTGTTGATTCCCCAGAACATGGAATGTTTTTGTCATTTATATCATCTCCCGTGCGATTCGACACCTCCTGAACCCGTTTTAAAATGCCAACTCCAGTCAAAGAATCATGCTTACCTGAGGCCGCACCCGAAGAAGTTGCCTGGAATCCTGATTTATCCTTCTGCCTCCACTGTTTACGTCTGAAATCTTTAAACCCCCCATTTTGTGAGGAAGTATCATAAACCTTTTGCTTAGCATTATTCTCTTTCATACATGACCCCGTACGATGACCAAAAACTTTGCAATGCGAACACTGGGAGGGAATCCAATCATATTCAAGAACAACATTAATGACATCCTCTCCTGTACCCGATAGTCTTGGAATAACCACTTCAATATTCCTTTGTATWTCTCCCACGGCCCAAACATCCACCAACACTTTAGCAAAATTAGTTCGACCCCATGCTTTATCACAAGGGCTTGCAGTGCAAGCATCCAAATGCAATGGAACGCCTATAGCACTAGCAATACGACTAATACCCTCTCTATTGAACGCAACAAGAGGGATATTAAAAAACTTAACCCACAACGGGCAAGAGTTGTGCTCAGGCTTCTGAAGACCCTTGGAAGGATCCCAGAGAGAGACAAACAGCATCCTTCCTCTAATCATGAGGGGAGACGTCTCAATAACTTGGTTGCACCCACCATCATCATTAAAACGAAAAAAGAAATAACCCAAGTCATTAACCATAGCATCAAGAAGACCAAATCTTCCCCAAGCATTCTGAACCGCGCGTAAAACAATTGGGAAAGGATTTGGCCATACCTTTTGTAACATCCAAGGGAAAACTGATCCGCGGTTTCACTCTTCTCAACCGGAAAATAAGTAAGTTCTGTCGAGGTAGTACCACCCACAATCTCTGCGAAGGACTTTTTAGGCACCACACAATGACCACCCCTAATTGCTGGAGAAAGACGTTCCCATACCGACACCCTCGGATTAGATCCAGGATTTACTCCCGCCTTCTTCTGAATATCCTCATGCAAAGGAGGACCTTTCACCATTCTAGGATCCGACTCATCCAAAATGACATCAGCAAAATCTTGAGAAGGATCATCTCTCAAGATAACATCCGCAAAGTCAGACATCCTTACCAAAGGCAAGAATACCTAGTCTACTATAACCCCAATCAAGAAGCCGTGGCGCTGAATCCCTAGTCAAGCAGTCTCAATAAAGTAGACGAAGACCTTAGAAAAGGTGCTGAATACTCTATCAATAAACTTAACAAAGGAGACGAAAACCACATAAACACTTGATGCAGGAAATAGAAAACTAGATAGTGACACACATCCAACCCGCAACCAAAGATCAAAACAACGAGCAAGCCAGAAAAACCCAAAGCGTAGAACAGCAAAACGAAACAGCCCACAAACGAACCGTGTAAGCAGCCCACAAAAGAAAAACCAAGAATGCATGCAAACCTAGGCGTGAACCCTGGGCACATGCAAACCCTAGACGAGGAAACTAGAGAAAACCCGCCAACCTTAGCCTCAAAGAAAGCAAAGGCCGCAAGCAAATCCCAACACTAAGCCCAAAGTCGAACACAAGAAGCAAATAATAGACGGCAAAAACCCTAAGGAAAACAAGCAACTCTAACCAACAAAGGAAACCCTAGCCGTGAGTATTAAACTACACGGCCAAAAAAGAGATCACAAACCCTAGCCGTTTCAACCTCAAACCTCGATGAACCAACAAAGGGGATGACGAAAACGAACCAAAAGAGAACAAGAGGAAGACGCACCACAAATAAAGAAGAAGAAATCGAAAACCAACCTCCAAAAGGAAACCCTAATGTCGCCGAGAAGGGAGCCGTGAGCAACGAAAGGGTCTAAAACCAAAACAGCCTTTGAAGGAGGATCGAAATCAAAACAATGACAAACTCCATGCAACCCGAACGCAAACACAACCTCAAAACGCCGTCTTCAAGAAAACCGTGAAACCCTAATCCGAGAGCAAGACGTCGTGAGAAGGAGAAAAAACAATGGCAAGCACTAACGATCACCAAACAATCCAAAATGCATAACATCAACAAGGAGCAATCAAAACCATCTTCGTCATCTTCATACAAGCCACCTTGAGAGAAAAAGTCAAACCCTAGTCAAGCCACCCATTCTTCGTTCGTGGTTCCATAAAGATTTTAATTGGCTCAAAATGACACTAATTGGGTCATTTTTAGTTTGATTTGACCTTAACGGGTATGATGTGCTAAATTCGTCAGAATTAGTCTAATCAGACATTGATCGGAGTGATTGAGTGTCCATTTGGTGTTAGTTGATATAATTGGCCTATTTCACCTTAAGAAGTCCAATTGGGTCACACGATGCAAATTAGGTCACAAGTAGTCTTTTTAGAACCTTTTTTTTAACAGAAACCAGACAAATTTTATAAACCATAAAGAAAAAGTACAGCACAACAGCCAATTTCCAGACCACTACCAACAAAAACAAAACAAACGACTTGGAAAAACCCCATACCAAGCCACCAGAAGCCAAAACAAACAAAGCCCAACCGACTCAAACAAACAACTAAAAATAAAGAAAAGGAGCTTAAAAAGCACAAAAGCTCCCCAAACCCAGCAAGAACCCATAAATCAACCAGTATTGCCCACCAATCGTTTCTCCAACCAAGCCACACGAATTTCAAGAGTCTGAACAATGGCTTGAATAATCTGCATGGCATTCCGACGATCCCCAGTAAAAAGTCTTCGATTCCGTTCCTGCCAAATGAAATAGACCGAAGCCGCTACCGCAAGTTTCTGCTTTAACCGCTTTGAACGATGATTAGAATCCGAAAGAGCTTCGAAAATTTGATCCCACACATAAGGCATAGTAGTCAAATCAACAATACGCAAGACGTTGCCCCAGACTTCACGAGCAAAAGTACACTGGAAAAATAAATGTGCATGGCTATCCACACTCTGACCACAAAGCGAACACTCTAGGCCAGGAGGTTCATCCTTCCAAAGTAAACGGTCTTGAGTAGGAAGACGCCGCTGGCATGCAAGCCATAAACAAAAAGCATGTTTAGGAATATGACCAGAAAACCACACCGATTTATACCAAGGTACAACCGGATAAGAACCATCCAACGATGCCCAAGCATTTCTAACTTCAAATCTCGAACAAGAAGTAAAATCATCCCCCAAAGAACATGATCCCGTAGCGAATCATTTAATAAAGGCAAGGGAGAAGAATTAAGCACATCAAACCTGGCACACCAATCATTAGGCTAAACTCCATTCAAACGCATGACAAGCTCACGAACCGTAGTAGCAGGAGAAAGACCACAAGAATAGATGAACCGATAAGTCATAAAAGCCGAAAGAGGACCACAAGGAAGCCAAGAATCCTCCCAAGCATTAGTATCCCTACCATCACCAATTTGAGACACAAAGTACTGTCGCAAATGAAGTCTTATGTCTAATAGTTTATGGAAAACCCACGACCAAGTAGAATTTTTCCGTACCAACCAGAAGTGATTGGTTCTAAGATTATGACTATAAATCCACCGAACCCACAAAGAATTATGATGGCGAACAATATCCCAAACATGTTTAGCAAGTAAAGCCCTGTTCCAAATCGCCAACCGTTTAATACCAAGACCCCCCGATTCTAGAGGACGACACACCACATCCCACGATAAACGACACCGCCCACGAGGATCATCCCTTGGTGCCCATAAAAAATTCTGGAAGATCGATTCAATATCATGAATTACACCCGACGGAAATAGGAAAACAGATAGCCAATGCAATTGAAGCGATTGTAAGACCGCTATAATAAGTTGCCTACCTTCTCCGAACGAGAGAAACTTAGACTTCCAATTAAAAATACGACCTTTAACCTTAGCAAGCAAAGGTCTATAGTCACTAATTTTCAAACGAGCATGAGATAATGGCACTCATCTTTATTAAATGGGCCTAATTCTCCGTACGGAGTGTAATTGGTTCACAATGACACTAAATGGGCCATATTTGGTTTGTTCAAACCTTCATGGTTATCATGGGCTTATTTCTCCTATTCGATACTACTGAAAGGGGAAAGATCCCTAGGCAATTTTATAAAGGCAATAAAAGCAGAACCGTTACAAAGCTAATCAKCAAGAAAAMCTACGRCAACTTTGACTTACAAACCAAGCCATAAGAAGCCAAAAATGACAAAGAGAAGTACACCAAAGCATAAAATTAAAGCAAGCCGAAGAATAAACGGCGAAACAAACCCACAAAATCCCAAACCGAGAAACCACTCCACCCACAAAATCACATAGCAATAGTAATCTTCAGCTTCTTCCTAGTCTTCCAAGCCATACGTTGAAGAATCTATATCTTGATCTCCGCAACAACTCTGTCCCCTGTATGATTGAAGTTATCAAAGAACTTCCTGTTTCTTTGCCTCCATATATGGTAAACCGTGGCCGATATACCAAGTTTTTGAACAGTAGACCAAGATTTCCATCGTCGAGCTAAACCCCTGTTTAGAATATCCTCCCAATTGTTCAAACAGTTCGTTAACCCCACCTCCTTTTTAATGATTTCCCAAATACTACTTGAGTAATTGCATTCGAAAAATAAGTGATTGTGCGTTTCAATCACTGATTTACAGAACACACATTTCAAATCCGGCGGTTCATGCTTCCACTGACTGATGCGATCTTGAGTTGGTAATTTATTTTGACAAGCCATCCACATGCAAAGAGCATGTTTAGGTATGTATGCATTATTCCATACCAGCTTGTACCAATGCACAATCGGCCATACTTCTTGAACAGTTTGCCATGCCACTTTGACCTCAAAATTTCCCCGAGAAAGTTTAGCATCAAGCCATCTAACCGTATCCTCCATTTGGTTGGGAGAAGGTATCATAATACTTTGCAGTTGAGGGTATTGTTGAATCCAATCCACCGGCCAAGTAGTGCCAAAACGTTGCATTACATCAGAAACCATTGAGTTATTACAAAAGCCATGACCATTTAAGAATCTATAAGACAGTAACTGAATAAGGGGCCCAAATTCACTCCACGTATCTTCCAAGGCATGCGTAGATAAACCATTTCCCACATTGTAGATAAAGAATCTCCTGTAGTGAGGACGTAAGTCTAATAGGCTCCGGAGAATCCACGACCATTCATTCCTCTTCTTGATAACCCAAAAGTTTCGGCCCCGAATACAATGAGACAGAATCCAAGAGACCCACATGGTATTTCTGCGAGTCAGAATATCYCAAATATGTTTGAAAAGTAAGCACCGATTCCAAATCGCTAGTCTTTTCATACCAAGACCCCCATTTTTAATAGGCAAACAAACCCTATCCCAAGCAACTTGACATTTTCCCAACTGACCCTCTGCTTTATTCCATAAAAAGTTACGAAACAGCTGCTCTATTTCATGGATTTTGGTTGTCGGTACTAGAAATACCGACATCCAATAGGTTTGCATAGAATGAAGAACAGAAAGGATAAGTTGTCGTCTTCCTCCATAAGAAAGGAATTTGTTCTTCCAATTCAAAAGTCGAGATTTAAGCTTTAGTACAAGGGGATTAAAATCACGTACCTTCAATCGAACTGGGGATAGAGGAACTCCCAGGTAACGAATAGGGAACACCCCCGGCCGAAAAGGTAAGCTATTACAAATAAGATTTTGAACCTCCAACCCAACATTCCCGAAAAACACTTCACTTTTTTCCAGACTCGGAGACAAACCTGTTCGTTCTTCAAATAATTGGAGAGCACGCTTGATAACTTCCATCGAGGTAGTATCACCCCGAGAAAAAATAAACAAATCATTCGCAAAGCATAAATGGGTCAACTTCATCTCAGCACATCCTTGATGGTACACAAAATTTGCCTCCTCCTCAATACATTTTGAAAGAAGCATCGAAAGACCTTCCATAACCACATTAAACAAGTAAGGAGATAAAGGATCCCCTTGTCGGAGGCCCCGCTTACCAAGAAAGAAACCCTCCGGTTGTCCATTAACACATATGGAGAAAGAAGGCGAAGTGATTAGAGTCTTTATCCAGTTAATTATAACTGGATGAAAACCCATTCCCTTTAGCATCTCTAACAGAAATTGCCAGTCAACTGTATCATAGGCTTTTCGAATGTCAATCTTAAACGCACATTTTGGTTCCCCTTCAGATTTTTGATAACCAACAACAAGTTCATGCGCCATTAAAATATTATCCGTGATCTGACGCCCAGAGATGAACGCAGATTGGGCCTTGCTAATAAGAACATCCAGAGAGCCTTTTATCCGTTCAGCAATAATTTTACTGATACATTTCAGCAACACATTACAACAGGCAATGGGCCGATAATCAGTAACACATGAAGCATTAGGAACCTTCGGGACGAGACAAAGTAGAGTATGGTTCAGCTGAAATTCCAAAGTTAGTCTAACTAGTTGTTAATACGACTAGTTGAGGTAGAACGTGTCTTAAGTGTCCTTAATGGATCCATGTACACTTATTGGGTATATTGAGCCTATTTAGTTATAATCGAGTCATTTGGATTAAAATGACGTTAAATGGATCATAATTAATCTGATTAGACCGTAGTAGGGTAATAGGCCCATTTATCCATAAGGATTTTACTGAAAGGGGAAATATCCCCAGGCAATTTTATAAAGACAATAAAAGCAGGACCGTTACAAGCAAATCAGCAAGAAAAACTACAGCAACTTTGACTTACAAACCAAGCCATAAGAAGCCAAAAATGACAAAGAGGAGTACACCAAAGCATAAAAATAACGCAAGCCGAAGAATAAACGGCGAAACAAACCCACAAAAGCTCAAACCGAGAAACTACACCACTCACAAAATCACATAGCATTAGTAATCTTCTGCCTCTTCCTAGTCTTCCAAGCCATACGTTGAAGAATCTGCATCTTGATCTCCGCAACAACTTTGTCCCCAGTATGATTGAAGTTATCAAAGAACTTTCTGTTTCTTTCCCTCCATATGTGGTGAACCGTGGCCGATATACCAAGTTTTTGAACAGTAGACCAAGATTTCCATCGTTGAGCTAAACCCCTGTTTAGAATATCCTCCCAATTGTTCAAACAGTTCGGTAACCCTACTTCCTTTTTAATGACTTCCCAAATACTACTTGAGTAATTGCATTCGAAAAATAAGTGATTGTGCGTT